AGAGCCGGGTTCTAATTCCCCTTCGTGTTCGTTATATTCACTTATGTGCAAATACCCCTTGTAATTGTACGGGTCCACAAATTCTCCCCCTAGCTATGGGTTAATTAGTAAGATTTTCATCAATAAAACTATTAATAGCTCAAAAAATTACGTATCAAATGTTTAGATGATAACCCATAGAGGAAAAAAAAAAACAACAAATCGAAAATCAAAACAAAAGCCCCAAAAAGTTAGGATAGGTGAAATGGGACGTTGTTTTTTTTTGCATCCTCCGTGTTTTCCACATTTAGCATTTACATATTTTCATTTGTTTTTGATCAGTAGGATATTTTAGAAGTAGCTGAACATTCTAGAAACAAAAAAAAAAAAACTGTTCAAATCCGCCTTTCAAAGTTTTCTCGTGGGAAAGCCCAGATTTGTTTAAAATGGAATGTAAAATTAGATTCATCCGTTGGGCTGTAATCGCTAAAAAGGAAGGAGGCGGCATTTTTGATAATATTTGAATTTTTGATAATATATTTTGAATTAGAATTGTTTTTATATCCTTCCTGTTAAAACGTAATTAATTTCCGAACGCATGTGCTCACACACGCACACACACATGCATACACTCGCATACACACGCATACACATACACACGCACACACACACACACATATATATATATATGTATGTGTGTGTGTGTGATTTTCTTATGCATATAAGAGTGCTTTATTTTAAATATTCTTAAAAGACATTTTTAATACACATAAAAATAACATTTTGAAAATTGCACTGCGAGATACAGTTTGTTAATGGGTAAATAATAAAAAAATGTCATTTCAAATATATATATATATATATATATATATATATATATATATATATATATATATATATAGTAGTTGTAAATACATTATGTTCAGTTTATTTATGTGCAAACGTACATTGCGAAAAGCAGATCCTCAAAGGAATAAGTTTCAGTTTAATATGTTAACAAAAAATGTTCTCTTTAATAACGCACATGTTGTTTCTAAACCTGGATATATTTATACTTCTTGATAATAAATACACAGGAAATCTCTCTCTCTCTCTCTCTCTCTCTCTCTCTCTCTCTCTCTCACGCTCACACAGCTACCCCCACAAGGAACGGAGCATCAATTTACCCACTCATCACTTCGTATATTTATGCGAGGACATTAAAGTCGCAGTTAGCGAACGGATTTAATCTACAATAACTGTCATGAATTAAACATGTGTTTTCAATCAGTTTTTTTTTTTAAATACAAGAGTTTCGACACTAATAAATAACTGATAAAGATTTTTTTTTTTAAATAGAGATATGCATACAAGATAACATGGCGAACGGAAACGGAAATAGAATAGTAATAGGGAAAAATAAAATGGAGGAGTAATGTGAAATGAGAAAGAAGTAGGAAAGACGACAGATAAGAAAGAAACACCGCCTGGAGAAGATAAAGAGAAGACAAGATGGCGAGGAAATGAAAAATGAATGAGAAAAAGGAAAAAGAAATTTACAAAAGGAAATTAGCAAACGAAATTTTAAAGTAGATTATAATTAAAAGAAGCAGATAAAAGCTTAAGGAATCTTAAAATGGCAAAAGGAAAGAAGGAATAAAAGAAAGAGTGGAAATGTGTGCGACGAACGTGAAACAAATAAAGAATAAATGACTGGGGAAAAAAAAGCGATGTGACGCATGTGAAATAAAAGAGAGATGTGAAAATCTCTGAGACTGGCGAGAAAGAAAATGTGTGATTGAGAGAAAAGAAGATAAGGCTGTGAGAGGAAGGTGAAATAAAGAAAGATATAGAGAATGAAAGAAAGACGTGATTATTATTATTAGAAAGAAAGAAAGAAAGAAAGAAAGAAAGAAAGAAAGAAAGAAAGAAAAAGACAGAAAGAAAGCTGTGAAATACGGTGAGAATTACGAGAAAGGAATTTAGGTTAAAGTGAAAGAAAGAGGTGAAAGGAAATGAAACGGAAGGGAAAAAAAAGAAGGAATGGCAAAATGAAAGAAAGAAAAAAGAAAGAAAAAAAAGAAAGAAAAAAGATATGAAAATCGGCGAAACTAGCAAGAAAGAAAAATGCGGAGAAGAAAGAGTGAAAGGCGGTGAGACGAAGGTGAAATGAAAAAAGAGAATGAAAGAGAGCTAGTGATATTAGAAAGAAAGAAAGAAAGAAAGAAAGAAAGAAAGAAAGAAAGAAAGAAAGAAAGGAAATTGTGATATGCTGTGAGACTAACGAGAAAGAAAAAAGGTGAACGTGAAAGAAAGAAATCAATGGTGGTGACGAGATGGACGTTAAAAAAAGAACGAATGAACGAATGAAAAAAAACGCATTGAGACTCACGAGAAAGAAAGAAGGAAGGAAACTGAGAAAGAAAGAAAGAAAGAAAGAAGAAAGAAAGAAAGAAAGAAAGAAAGAAAGAAAGAAAGAAATATGTGAACATCAGTAAAACTGGCAAGAAAGAAAAAAAGCAAGACTGAAAGAAAAGCGTGAAAGCGGTGAGATGATTGGTTTGATTTGTTTTGTTTTACGGCATATCAACCATAAAGGGTTTTTTAATGCCGACATATTTTTTGTTGCTGATAATATTTTTTTTTTCAAAAATGTATTGCTGGTAATAATGCATTGCTAGTAATAATTTTTTCTTCAAAAATTCATTGGTGGTAATTGACCTGAAATCCTCCTGATCACAGGCCTTGCTATCGGATGTTGTTTATCGTCTTACCCAAGACGATGATGTAGTTTATCTTCATATCCAGGACGCAGATGTAGTTTATCGTCTTACCCAAGAGGCGGATGTAATTTATCGTCATACTCAGGACGGACCATCTAGGTATTAACCAGGTTCGACGTTGCTTAACTTCGGTGATTGTACAAGAAGTGTTTTTTTTTTTTTTTCGAGATGATATGGCAGTAAACTCGAGAGTTGATTAGAAAGCAAGAAGCTAGAAGAGGGTTCCACAAGCGAGTAGCAAGGGAAAGGAGACTGTAGGCATAGAACTTAAACTTACATTTCAACTGTAAAATGATGAGACCTAACCGCCAATCTAGTACTGTGCTTAAATTCCTAAAGCCAAGATGCCTAATAGGAAAATTCACACAAACAATTACCATGAAAATAAGAAAAGACACAGGAAAACTATGTTACAGCGATGGGAAAGACATTGATTTACAAAATAAACTTATAAAATAAACTAATTAATACTTAGGTGGCCACTTAAAAACATCGGGCGCAGCGTCTGGCTTTATTTCATACTGCAAAAGTTACGCCATGTAAAAATTATATTGGTGTTCGTTAGTGTTCTTGTTGTGGTAGGATCCACCTAATTTGCATAGTGGAGTACCGACTATATAAATATGGTTGGTACCGGGAAGAGAGCGGAGGAATCAAGAGATTCAACCAGAGACTCTGCCCGATTGCGACTCAGTCAACACATTCTCCAGGAACGGTCTTACCAGGAATATACAAAAGACTATATGTAAATATTATGTACACTTTCTTGTTTCAATACATTTTGTTCTAAGTACATTTTGTGTTGCATTATTATTCCATGCATTAGTCAAGTTTCAACAGTAATACAGAGTGCGATGGATGAATTGTCGTCCAAATGACGCAAAAGTGAAAATAACACTCGCATCTCATTTTAACAGATATATTTACCAAAATTACACAAAAGAAATATCTAGAAATACTAAAGAGCAAATTAATTCAAAAAAATCACCATTGGCTTCCACCATAGCCTCTAGATGATTTCGGAATCTCCCTCAACTCTTCTGGACGGTCTCCTTGATTAAGGTGATAAATGCGACCATAATCCTTGTCTTCAGTTCATCTTACAAGGGGTTACAAGGAGTTTTATTGGTCTCTCGTTCAACTTTGCCCCATACATATAATAATCAAGGGGATTGAAGTCTGGGGAGTTAGGTGGCCAGATTTGAGGGCTGATGTAATCGCAGAAATTATCTGACAGCCATGACTGGATTCTCCTGCTTGTGTGGCATAGTGTAGAGTCCTGCTGTTAGACATCGGGCCTTCAAGCTGTCACACTCTTGACCCAAGGCAGCCCCACCTCCTCAAGGTACTTAATGCAGGGCCCCATGAGACCTTGTGGGAAGATGAATGGAGGCATAACGTTGCCATCACTAGTGATCACTCCAAACACTTTCATAACCACCATTTGATTCATTCAACTCTTTCTGAATCTCCTGCACTGTCCTCAGATTGACACCCAAACATTCTGAAATTTTCGTATTCCAGAGTGAATTCTAAACAGTACAACATATCGTTTCTAAATTTCTGGTGAATTAAATTGCGTCATGTTCCTCTTTTTCTCACAGACGGTGCCTAAATGGTTCCACTATACTGTGCAGTTGACAAAGTCAAAAACAAAGCCCATGCTAAAAATTAAAAATATAAAATGGTGAAAATTTATCCATCTCGCCCTGTATAATTTGACTTTATGCGTTTAGTACAATGCGGAAAATAATAAAGAGATATCTGGATTCGCACCTCGATCTAAAACAGGTTTTAGATTCATGGCCTCACTGATTTCTAATGAAAGTTACCAGTTTCAATTAGAATCAATTAAAAAAAAATTCACAGCGAATGTCACAGAACAGTTTGAAGATTCTGCTGTTTCCAATATGGTCGAAATATTCTTTTTTAAAACTTGGATGAAAGAAGAAACGAAAACCATTTTTAGAGAGGAGACAACATAAACAGACACATTCAACATTGATTTGGCAGGCAGAAACACAGGATACACAATGGAATTAAAACCCAAAATGGCAGGGAAAATGTGTCCGGATCTGCACATCAAATGAGTATAAAAAGAAAAAATACATTTTTGAAGGTTTTATGGCCACATCGCTATGAAAGACTTGTCCCCCAATGATGATCGATGTTAAGCAAAATCGAACCTGGTCCGTACCTAGATTGGTGACCGCTGTGAGCTTGGATGGGTGAGTAGCATTGATTACACTCCCATCACTGTCAAATACCAGTTCCCGTCCGATCACCGAAGTTAAGCAACGTCGAATGTGGTCAGTACTTAGATGGATGACATCTATGGAATACCAGGTGCTGTAAACTTGGATATATGAGTGGTAAGGCTTACGATCACATCACTTTCAAACACGAGTTCCGACCGGTTAAGCAACGTCGAACGTGGTCAGTACCCAGATGGGTGACTGTTCGCGAATACCAGGTGCTGTAAGCTTGGATGTGGGATTGGTATGGCTTACGGCCGCATCAGTTTCGAACACAGGTTCCCCTGGGATCGTCGAAGTTAAGCAACGTCGATCCTGGCCAGTAACCGGATGGGTGATCGCTAGGGAATACTTGGCTCTGTAAACTTGGATGTGCGAATGATATGGCTTACGGTCATATCATTTCAAAACCGGTTCCCGTACGATCACCGAAGTTAAGCAACATCGAGCTGAGTTAGTTCCAATTCCCGGGGGTGGGGTTATATTCCATCATAAACAGATACCCCTGAGAAAGATATTAGTTCACCTCTTCTCCTCCAGTTATGGCTTAATTAGTAAGACTTGTATCACTAAATTATTACTATCTCGAAAGAAAAATCATTGCAATCAAAAATGTTTCTGGCTTTAAATAACCCAAAAAGTGATGATAAGCCGTACAAAACAATTTGGTGATTTAGACTTTTAATCCTCTCGTAAGTCGTATTTTCAAAATTGATTCTCACTGGGCGCCACTATTTTAAGACCTTGTGCCAGTCTAGAATAAGCTCAAAAAATTATCCCCATCATATGTTTCACCTCCTTTTGTCTGCCATTTTGAACCAGATGTTTACCATTTGCTTATTACCAGTTTCCAATAATAAAAAAACTAAAGAAAATAGGAAGAAAGAAAATGATAAAATAATAAATTTTAATCGCCAAATATTCTAATTCAATTCTTTTTGTTAATCCGCTGACAATTTCTCTTAATCCCGCGTCGATAATCCGTCATATTGAAAACGCTAAAATATGGATTAAAAATGGCGTATTTTGCCAACCAATTTGCAGAGAGATTACTGGACAAATAACCTCTTTCGCATTTCTGTGTTTCTTTTTTATTGATTTATTATTCTTTTTTCTCTTCTTGCATAACTTACTCTTTCTCTGGTTATTATTATTATTATTATTATTATTATTATTATTATTATTATTATTTTAACATGAGTTACACCTGCAAAGTTTCAATGGGGATCTTACATAGCTTTTACATCGAGTCTTTTTTTAATCAATTCATCCCAAGCAAGGCGATAATGCTACTAAGACGCAAGGGGTTACTGGGAATGAAAGAGAATGAAAAAAATAAGAAGGCCCCGAAACCCAATACTAAACAGAAAAAAGAATGTGCTAAATCTCTACTCCTGTTCAAAAGACCGAGGAGAATAAAATAACATTCACTGCAGGGAGACAAAACCCTAGCAAAAGGTAACATAATTGGGATATGGATAATCTAGTATAAACCGGACCCCTTGACTAGTTTAAACCTGATATCTGTGTACTTGTTGGATATATTATAAACTGCAACTGCGTCCGTTTCTTTTTAATCACGTGCAACCTAGACCTATGTCCGCCTGTTTGATTCAAGTGTCTACCTTTTTTATTCTAGTATAATTCGGACCTATGTTTACTTTTTCCCCATGTGTAAACCAGACTTATACTACACTTTTTATTCTAGTGTAAAACGAGCCTATACCTAACCTTTATATTCTAGTATAAACCGGATCAACGCGTACTTTTTTACTCTAGTTTGAACCGGACATATGTGTACTTTTTTAGTATAGCCTAAACCAAACCAATGTGTACATTTTACAGTAGTTTAAACGGGACCCATGTGTACTTTTCTACTCTAGTTCAAAGTGAACTTATGTGTACTTTTTTACACTAATTTAAACCGGACCTCTGTGTACATTTTCACTCTAGTTTAAACCGGACCAATGTATACCTTCTTACACTAGTTTAAACCGAACGTATATATAATTTTTTGCACTCTAGTTTAAATGGGACCAATGTGTACATTTTTACACTAGTTTAAACCGGACGTATGTACACTTTTTTAATCTAGTTTAAACCGAACCTACCAGTACGTTTTTGTACTCGAGTTTAAACCGGACCAATGTTTACGTTTTTACTCTAGTTTAAACCGGACCTATGTGTACTTTTTTTAATCTATTTTAAACCGGACCTATGTGTACTTTTCTACTCTAGTTTACACCGGTCCTATGTGTATTTTTTACTCTAGATTAAACCGGACCTATGTGTACATTTTTACTCTAGTTTAAACCGAACCTATGTATTATTTTTTCATCTAGTTTAAACAGAACATATGTATACTTTTTGTACTCTAGTTTAAACCGGACAATGTGTACTTTTTTTACTCTACATTAAACCGGACATATGTGTACATTTATACTATAGTTTAAACTGGACCTGTCTGTACTTTTTTATTCTAGTTTAAACTGGAGCTATGTGCACTTCTTTACTCTAGTTTAAACCGGACCTATGTGTACTTTTTAATCGAGTTTAAACCGGGCTCTTGTATACTATTTTACTCTAGTTTTAACTGAAACTATGTGCACATTTTTGTACTCTAGTTTTAACAGGACGAATATGTACATTTATACTATAGTTTAAACTGGACCTATGTGTACTTTTTTACTCTAGTTTAAACCGTAACAACATGTACTTTTCTACACTAGTTTAAACCGCGCCTATTTGTACGTCTTTTCTCTAGTTTAAACCGGACCAATATGTACTTTTTACTCTAGTTTAAACCGGACAAATATGTACAATTCTACTCTAGTTTAAACCGGACGTGTGTGTATATTTTTCCTCTAGTTTAAAACGGACTTATATGTAATACTTTTACACTTGTTTAGACCGGACCTATGTGTACTTTTTCACTCTTGTTTAAACCGGATCTATGTGTACAATTCTACCCTAGTTTAAACCGGACCTATGTGTACTTTTTACTCTATTTTAAAGCGGACCCCTGTTTACGTTTTTCACTCAAGTGTAAAGCAGACTTATTTACCTTTTTCTATAATCAACAATTTCTTTCTAGTAGTAACCAGGTCTGTGGGTACATTATTGACACACGTTTAAACAAGACGATTTTCTACTTTTTAATCTGAACTAATATCTGCCTTATTTTCTTTACTGTAAACTGGAATCATATCTAGGTTTTTTGACACTTGTGCTAACAGCGCTCCAGACTCATCCACGAAACGCCCACCCAGCCGACAAAATATTAAACATTCCAAAAACATTTTCTTTTAACATTGTTATCATTTATAGTTGTCAGCTATTCCATTAAAATGATTAAGAAATGAATTAGAAAAACTAAAGTTCTTGACATGCATCAATAAAACGTCATTCACCATTTAATACTGTACCTCTTATTGGCTATTGTTGTAATCAAGTAATTGGTTAAGAAATAACAAAACAAGAGTTTGCCGATAAATCGTGTATTGAACAATAAATACAACAGAAGAGTATTACACGACTTGGGAATGTGTCTCGGTAGACCAGCTTTCAATCTATACTACCGTTGATATTTATTACCCCCCACGAGGGTAGGTGAGGCACAAGGCCGAGTTTAACGTGGGCCATCCGAGTCCGTACGCTCGGCTAAAAAATCCCCGTAGAAGCCGCATAAACGCGTTCGGGTCTGTCTACCTCCCCGTACGAGACTCTGCCCTTCGGCACAGCCTCGTCCGGGTTCCTCTCTGCCCAAAGCCAGAGAGTTCGACAGCAGCTGCGAACAGTCACAGCCTCGGTAGAACAATCTATACTACTGTTGATATTTATTACTACCCCCCCCCACCCCACGAGGGTAAGTGTGGCACTAGGCCGAGTTTAACGTGGGTCATCTGAGCCCGTACGCTCGGCCAAAAAATTCCCCGTAGAAGCCGCATAAACGTGTTCGGGTCTGTCTACCTCCCCGGACGAGACGCTGCCCTTCGAAACAGCCTCGTCTGGGTTTCGCTCTCCAATAAAAGAGGCTTAACATGCTAATTTCAGGAGACATCTTTATTATTGTCTTATTTTCAAATTTCATGATTAATTTTATCCTTATTAAAATCTAAAGTACGCCCCAGAGTTTTACTTATTCGACAAGTACGCGCTGAAATAAAAATGGTTGAGAGACACTGTTTTAAAGTCTCTCCCATTTCCACTGCAGTATAAAGCATCCAACGCTTAGGTAATTTAACCCTTTCCTCGCCAATTATTTGGGGATAAACCTTTCATTTTCAGAAAAAAAATCTTTTTAATTTATTTTTCATATAGTAACTAACAAACTGAAGCATCTTGAATTATCCAAGCGGTGGCTAATACCTCTACCAAGATGTATGAGTTGACAACAGAACTCGTTTCAAGCTGAGAAAGGCATAAAAAGAATCAAGATCGACGTATATACACGTCTGTAGCTGGTTTTTTGAACGTTATATTTTGGACGTGTCTATTCGTCCGTGTCTAAAAAAAGACACATTCGGTAGGTTTATAGCTTTTTTGTATACAATGCCAAATTGTTTCACTAGATATATATTTTAAGGTCTGACTGCAACCCTGTCCCACACAAACAAGCAGATAGTTTCATTTTCCCACAATATAGCTATTTCTGCTATGTTATAATGCTTATGACCTAAACAATAATAATACTGAATATAAACACGTCTGTAGCTGATTTTTAACTTTATTTTGGACGTGTTTATTCGTCCGTATCTGAAAATAACACTTTTGGTAAAAATGTATATGCACGTCTCCGGGGCAGGAGTTAAGACGTCTTGCAGATTGATCAAAGTACGTCTACAGCCACCATTGATAGAGCTAAATAACATTTTAAACAAGTTCCATATTTTAACGTTATAATGTACTATTTAAGCATCGGTTAGATGTGACACAAGGCCGCAAGTTTGGAGCACTCAAGGAGTATCGAAATAAATACTAAGTCGTAAATAATCTATCGAAACAATCTTGCTAACCATTGCAACACGTCGAAGTAACACTTTGTTTGTAGGCAAAATGGTTTACTAAGCGTAGCTTAAATGAGACAAAAGGCTGCGTATA